TTGCAGTGGTGTTACCTTTGAATCTCTCAGCTAATTGTTAAAATGTACAAAGCTGGCAGATACTTCAAACACTGCGGTATGTTGCATGTTCTTTCCCAGAATGACTTAATTTAGAGCTCTAAGGAAATAAGTGGCTTTTGATGCCGTGAGCTTGATTTAGGCTTTTAGCTCCATTTGAAGTGAGAAAACACTTTAGGCAAGTGGTATGCAAAAGAAACTCGTTTTTCCTTAGGAAGCTGAAACAATGGAGCACTTATGCTTTCTTTTTCTACCTTTTTCTCTTAAATATTTATTACATTGTATAGGCAACTATTTTTGGTCCCTATAGGCTTTTGAAGAGCTGAGAGTTTGTAATGTAATATCCTAAATTTTGGCCACCTTTTGGGGTTTAAAGATCAGTTTATAATTCCTACCTGAAATGTAGCTGAAGGTAATTGCAGCTGTCCTTCTGTAGTCCTTTCTTTCATTTGAAAATCTCCTGGCGATTCTTGGACTTACAAGTTTTAGCAGGGGAGGACTTTGCTATTAAAGTAGAAATGAACCCTCTCTGCCTGGGAACAACTCCAGAGTACTTTGGAAATGTTGTAAGAAAGACCTCTGAGGAAAAACTCTTTGCTTTAATGACATCAGAGGAAAAGAATCTTAAGAAAGAAACCTTGGTTAATAAGGTTTAGCAACTGATTTTTATCTACTGTTGAAATTACCACACTAGAAATGAGTTCTGTTAATCTTGATGCCATTAAGTTGCCAGTACAGTGACTTCTGTGGATGTTTTCCCAACTAAAGTCTGAGCTGTAGGCCTCCCGTTCCAGCACTGTTCATATTCAGTTGAATTGTTCTGCATGCACCTGAAGTTCCTGCCAATTTTTTATGCTCATGTTAACGAAATCTTGCTAATTTTGAGGGAGGTAGAAAGTTGGCTTAATTTTCAGAATGTTATTGAACTGTGATTTAAGACAAACCTCTGCCTCTCTCTAAGGTTGAAGAAGAAATTGGTACGCTCAGGCAAGTTCTGGCTGCTAAAGAGAGGCACTGTGGAGAGCTGAAGAGGAAGCTAGGTTTGACTCCCTTGGATGGGTTAAAGCAAAACCTGTCTAAAAGCTGGCATGATGTCCAAGTCTCCAATGCGTAAGTGTTGCTTGTGATGCACATTTCACGTTTAAATATGACTCTATAGTAATTATTTCCAAGCAGCATATTCCAGGGCTCTTCTAAGTGGCTGGAGGCTTTTGCTCTGATGGCTATATAGAGAAAAGGCACTTAAAACTATTTACTTCATTGCTTTTGCTCGTCTGTGTCTTTATGTCAGCGTAAACGGAACTTTCATATCTGTGATCCGGGTAGATTGTTGCTGGATGTTCTTTCCTTTGATGATAGAGATCTAGATCGCCACTTAACAGTTCAGTTTGCCCATTTCTGCCCGTTCTTTGAGATGTAGGCTGCTGCTACCTTGTTCTGAACTCAGGCTCGAAGAGAAGTGCAAGAAGTTTCAAAGTTCTACTGCATAGTGTTAGTTTAGAAGGTATTTCATATAGCTTGAATTAAAAAGCCTGCACTTCCTAGGAAAAAATGCTGTAATATTAGTGTGTATTACGCATAGTCATCTCTGCCTAAAGAAGATCTGAAATTAGACTGACTGTTCGTGAACAGGCATTAAGGGTATGGTCACTGCAGTGCTTGACAGTGCCAAAAGGAGAGTCAAAGAGGTAAGTTTGACCCTGCAGTTGTGCCTGGATGTAAGGGACTGACGGTACCCATAGAGATACCGTTCAGTCTAAAAAGTCTCGTGTAACTTAACTGGAATTTAGCACTGACAGTGCTACTGCGGGCCAGATCGTTGAGCTGGTCATCTCACTGTTTATTCTTTCCCTTTTTCCTCATCTTCCCTCCTACATCCCTGCCTGATTTCTGTTATTCCTTTGTAACTGAAATCTGTGTCATTGTCTTCTAAAAAATGAATATTAAAGTTATATTCATTAACACTTTCTGTTTCTAGTTATGTGAAAACATCTGAGAAACTTGGAGAGTGGAATGACAAAGTGACACAGTCTGACTTGTGAGTGCCTCGGGCTCCTCAGCAACACCTCCTTGCTCCTTGCTGCGTTCCCCGATTTGTGCTGCTACTTGTTCTCACAGGCATCGGGGGTTGATTGGGAGCTGGAGGCATGGTGAAGCAGGACTGTTATTAGCAGCATTCCTGGCTTCCAGCTATAAGCATCCCTTAGTTGCAGAGGCGATGAGTAAACGTTACTGCTATCATTTCTCTCATGGTCTTGCTATTGCAGAAGAAAAATTCCAATCAGTTACCAGACCACATTTTATAATAAAAAAAAAAAAAGTTAAAAAATCAACCACAGTTTTCTTTTAGGTGGTCATTGGTAGGTTAGTCTGTTGTAACCGGATGTCTTATTAGGGAACCTCTGTCTTCACTGTGAAACTATTTCTCTTCTCATCACTGGATGTGGTAGGAATCGGTTTGATTATTGCCTTTCTGTATGGCCACAGGGGGGAGAGAGTGCCTGAAGGCATTTACCTGTAAATAGGGGCTGTGCAAATGCAAATATACATATTAGCTTTTGAAAGCTGCCACACTGTGGCTCTTCTTGCATTGATGTATTGTGAACCCCTTTGCTGATGTCAACACTAGAAAGCCATCAATTTTAATCTTTGCAGTATAGACAAGCAGGTGAGAAATGCTGACAAAGAACATCTGGCTACTTCTGTCTCTAGAATATATTATTTAATTATATTAGACCTCCATTCATATTCGACATGAATCATTTTGATTCCTACTTAAGGGAGACCTGGAATGTTTCCTGCATTGAAGATTCTTTCCCTTCTACATCTTGTGTTGAAGGAGATGGTTATTTAGCTAAGAGGAAAATGTGGATTGGGAGCATCCCGTCAGTAGGCAAGACAGCTCTCATCTAATGGGGGAGGGTTACACTTCTGGGTGACGTGAGCTGCCTGCGATATGTCACCTTCTCTGAGCACTTCTGCGTGTTGTCTGAGCTGGTAGCAGACACTTTCTGTAGTACTTGTATTTGTTCTGTACCTCCGGGTTTAATTCTCACAACCCCTAAGGTACTGTTTTCTAGGGAAACATGATTTCTAAAGATTAGAAAATGAAACTAAGTTTAATGGTTTGTCCAGGTCATGCTGTATTGGTAAAATACAGCTTTGGGTGTGGCAGTCAGATTTTTTTTTTTTTGGCCTTGAGCTCAGTTCACTGCTCTATGCTTTTGATACATAGCCGTCACGCAGCATGTAGGAAGGGAGCAGAAGACTGTAGGAAGGGAGCAGAAGACACAAAGTCTTTCAATTCCTGACACCTTCTAAACTGCAGGCTTTGTTTCTTTGTGCTCAGTGTTTTAATGTTCTTAAATAAGAAAGAAACTGGGGCTTAGGTGTCTCCCCGCTCCTCAAACAACAGCTCTTTTCCTTCTGGCTGTAACAGAGAAGGGGGGAAGCCATTGTCAGAGAAATAAAGCCTATGATACTGTCAGTGTAAAGAGACACTAATAATGTGGAAAGTGTCAAAAGAAGCATCTGTCATGAATCTTGGCGCTGTATCTAACCTCCACTGTGTTTGTAGATATCTTTCAGCCAGCAGCACACTGGAGGACTGGAATGAAAAATTAACTCAATCAGAAGCGTGAGTGTCTTAACTGTCAGTGTTAACAAATGCTTTCATGACAGTCTGCTGCCACTAACGTTCTGTGCCCCTGCTTACAGTCCTCTGCTTTGACTAGATCTATTTAAACTTTCTCTTTTCTAGCTTTCATTTTTTTAACCCAATAAATGCCTCTTCTGGGAGAGGGAGCTTTTCCTCAACTCAGTATTTGAATGATTTCACTGTGGTCCAAGTGATACTCTTCAAATGCCTGCCTGCTCTCAGAGGAGAGCTGGCTGAAGCCACCGGGTAGCTGAGACCTGTGTGCCACACACTATAACTTCAGCTGACAAGCTGTGGAATAGCCAGACTGACCTCTTCTTGTTACCCTCAACATGCTCTGCAGGGAGCAGGAGCTTTTCTTTTTGCTGTGGAACCTGATGAGAACAAATAGAGCTGTAGTGTCCAAGGCAGCTGTTCTGTCATGTTGGGGCCCCAAGTGGACTTGAACAGCTTAAGCCTCACAGCTGTTATACTCCAGTTGTTGGCTGCTAAGGTCTTAGCCATGTTTTTATTAAATGCCTGAAATTAAATTCTCATCTGGACTAAATTATGGGAGCATATTATGGAAGTTGGCCTTTGTCCTTCTCACTGCATCTTTCCCACAGTATATAGAGGAGTCCTTTGACAGTGATGCAGTGGGAGCAGGTAGGTAGTGGTGTTGTTTCCCAAACTGATTTAAACCATGGTAAGGTAGGTCTTAGGTAAGCCAGCTTTTCCTGTTCTCTGGAACGGGTATAAAATTCAGTCCTTTGAGCTGGCTTGTTACTGGCAGTGTGTGTGAACAGAAGGTTTTCTTCATAAGATGGGTGAAAGATGAATGGAGATAAAAAGTAGGAGTATCAGAAAAAATTTTGAAGTATGCAGATTCTACTTTCAATGTTCCGTGTATGTTTTCTAGATTAAGAAGATGTAAATTGCCACTATTTCACTTGCTAAATAGAATGACCTTGGTTTTTATGCTTGCTGACAGTGTGACTGACTCCAGTGGTGTTTAATCAGAGTTCCTCCCTGGGTGTGCCTGCTAGAATAGAAAACTTCTTGTTATATCTGTTTCCTTGTACTTAATAAGCGCCAGAAATGTGGCGGAAGCGTGCTTTTGTAGAGCACTTGAGGCCTGAATAGCTGTGGCACGCTGGTTTTCCTGCTTGCTTTGGCACTAGACGGAATGACAATTCATGCTAGCAAGGTAGATACTGATTAAAATGGAGAGACGAGGGGGATTGAAAAGCAAGATTTGAGTAATGCTTCAGAAAACAAACAGAATTTCTACTTCCTTTGTCTAAAGCTCAGCACATGTGAAGAGTCAAGTTCAAGAAATCCAAGGATGAGGTTTTAATCATATGTTTTGGGTTTGTTATGCAAATGCATCCTCTTTCCTGTTGTTTGAGCTTCTCGGCATTATAACTAACACGCATCCTGACTGAACTGGGAATGGGCCTAACTCGTGACCTTACGGGGCTTTTGTGCACTGCTGAATTTCCCGGTAGTTGCCACTCCTGGCCACAGACTTGCCCGCTGCAAGCTGTATGTAGACAGGACAGAAATCAGCCCAATCTGTCCCTAGCTCCAGTTTCATTGTAACCAGGATGCAAGATGACTTAAATGATTTGTGTACTTAGTCAGACAGCACAAATGGTGATTGCTGGATATAAGCAAGTGAGATGAAGCTGGTATTAATGGATACAGGAGGATTTGAGGGTGCGGGTCTGGCTTCTCCCTGTCAGGCTTTATAGGAGAGGGTGCAATGAAATGTTTGAATACCACAGGATAAACACGACAGGGCAGAGATCATTTCTGCAGCTTCTGCTGCAGCCAATTGCCTGTTAGTAGAGCAGGGTATTAATTAGAGCTTATATTTATTACTCCCAGATTTGGATTATTCTACTGTGCTTTGTACTGGTGCTAAAGGAAGAAAGTGATTGATTGTGAATGTAAAGCCACGGTAAACCTGGCTGTGTCTGTTGCAGGAGAGTAGTTGCGACTTCTAGGTCAGGGCTAGTACTTAAGTTGCATTAAAGTCTTGTATAACCTGATCCCTGGTTGTCACAGATGCAGCTCCACATGTGTGTCTGATGACAGTTCTGGGTTAAAGAGTTTCTCATCTCAGCTGCACTTTCCTGGCTCTGCCTGCTGCGTTGCAGCGGTGGAGGTGTGTACGTGTGTGTGGGAGCTGTGGATGTAGGATTAGACTGATGATCTGATCTGGCTGCTGCTGTCTTTTTTGTTCTTCCAAGTTTATATTTCAGCCGGATCGTTTCCTTGATCTAGATCACTGTGTCAGCACAAACAGTTGTGCTGGCATCATGAAGGAGCACACTCAGGCAGAAGGAGCAGCACTTGAGTGCTAGATCTTCAGTGGTCTTAAGAATACTGTTGTCAAGTGTGGAAAATACAGTTGGAAAATCTCTGGGCTTCATCTGCTGAAGCTAGACATAATACCTGGCAGTTTGCAGTGTGTGCATGGTGTGATGGTGTCCTTTGAGTCTGTAAACCATTCCTCTCATTGTTGCTTTGGTGCTCAATGCTGATCTCTGAGAGTTGAGTGTGAAGCAGATGTAGAGTCAGCGCAACATACTTCAGTGAGCACGAGGTCTTCGATGTTTCTGTTGGGCAGCTGTAAATCAAATCCCATGATAGGATTCAGTCAGCCGGGGAGGAGCCTGACTGCTGAAGGCAGGGACTGAGATCCTCCTCTTCCAAAGCAGGTTTGGCCCTAGGATTCAAACATAGTTATTGCGATAGGAAGGCATGTCTAAGAGCAAACAGTGTTGATGCTGACCAATTAACTCCTAAATTGTCCTAAGATGACTACTTCTTGCAAAAGATTGTGCTGTGGAGAAACGGTAGTGAGGCCTTGCTGTTGGGGCACGCTCAGGTTCTTCTGGAGTCACTGAATTCAAGAGGAACTGTTCTGAAAAATGTGTAGGTTATAGGAATTTTCTTTCAGGAGCAGGAAGAGGGAAGGTAAAGCTGATGCCATTTTGCCCTTTTCTGCATAAGTCTTGTGTACGTTCTTGGTTCAGAAGTACTTGGCTGTGGTCTTAAACAAAAAACCCCAACAAACCAACATGTTGTAATTGGTATTGCTTGAACCCAGTTCAGGTGCTGCGGTGCTTTCTTCCGCACTTCTGTCTGGAGAGAATGAGATGTAAGCTGTCATCATGGTGCTTCTAGCTTTGGGAGCTCAGGCAGGAGAAAGGATCTTAGGCTGTTTGTAATACCCTTCTCCTAAATATCCTAGTCAGGCAAAAAAGTAATCTTGAGCTGAAATATTTGGAATAAGAAAACTTGGCTTAAATTGTTGAACTTGTTTTCCAGCCTCAGTCTTTTTTTATAATGTGAAGAATGCCATAAATCTAGATGTTAATAATCAACTGTGGAATAGCTTAGAGAGAATGAGTTAATGAAAGTGGCTCAAAGAATCTTTGTTCCTGAGATTAGTCTCATTGGAAGGAAACAAAAGTTCTCAAGTGTCTGTCTTCTCCGGCTTTGGTATAAACTCAAATGTAATCAGCTGACAAATACAAGCTGTCAGACTTCTTATGTATTGTGGTTAATGGTAACTGATAGGAAACTTCTCTACCAATTTATTTCTAAACTGCAAGTTGTAGACATAATGCTGATTCCTGCATTTCTTTTCTATACAGTGATGTTAGTCTTGCCTCTTTCCTCCATAACCTAACACTACAACAAATGCTATAACTTCTTCAAGGCTGCAAGCTATTATGGAATAGGTTCCTAGGCTTAGTTTTTCAAGATAGTTGTAGAGCAAACAGGATACGATGCTATGGTATTAGAGTTTCCACATGGAAAATGGGGTTTCTTTTTTTTTTTTTTTTTTTTTGCAAGTGTTTGTCAGATTTAAGAATGTATGGTCAACATGGTAAAGTGAATGTATGGAAAGGTGAATCCTACACTTGCTGCTTTTTTTAGAACTTTAAGTCTTTGATTATGTGCAAGACTGGAAGGGGCTTTTTCAGTGAAATCAGTGCAGCTCACTAACCTAGCTTCTTTCCTTTAATATGGTTCCTTTTTCAAAATGGTGGGCGGGGGGGGGATGCTTCTTGCTTTCAGATCCTACCTGTTAGTTCAATTCATGATGTTTTTTCCTATTTAGTTATAAGAAGACCCAGGAAACCCTTTCCCAGGCAGGACAGAAGACTTCAGCAGCCCTTTCCAATGTAGGTTCTGTTATCAGCAGGAAACTTGGTGACATGAGGTAAGATTTCTGTTTTGCGCTCTGGTGCTTTGATCTTGGTTTCAAACAGTAATACTTTAGACAATAACTAGGCTTTTTTCCATTTTTCTGCTTAGTTGGCAGCACATTGCTGTTGATGGACTAGCTTCTTCTGTGTGGCCCTGTACATTGTAATTTAGGACAGATTAATCACTTATTAAAGACTTGTTGATGGGATAAAACCCATTCTAAGGCATTTAAGTTTGATTTGGCTTAGGAGAATTGACAGAACGTTTTTAGCAGCCTTCGCCTCTTTACTGTCATATGGTTTCACTGCAGCTTTTATGTCGTATGTAAGAAACTAGTATTAACGTTTACCTTTTCCATTCATTACTGGATTATGGAGTTATGTTTTCTCATTGTAACTGTTTAGGATTAGAAAGGGGTCATCACTCCTGTGCTCTGTTATGCTTTAAAATGGGGCAAAGTCTGGATGCTGCATTTCGTGCAGTTTCAAGCCATGTGTGTCAACTTTCCGTGGAGAAGGGCAGTATGCCTTCCAGGCGCAGTTATGTCATGTAGATTGGAAGATATTAATTGATTCAGAAGGTCATGACAACATCAAAAATTTCTTCTTCTGGTTGGTGGTTTTCTAGATTCCTTAAGCAGATGACCACTGAAGTAATTGCAGATCTAAACCTCTCTGAATTGGAAAGCGGGGGGATGGTTCCCTTGGTTGTTGGCTGAGGTTCTTGCTCTGTGAGTTTCTCAGCTGTACAAAGTTGAAGGTTAGAATTGGTGATTTATCTGATCTTCAGAAATTTAAGCTAAAGAATGCTTTCCCCGTTAATGGTGATGTCCAAGTTTTTCATGCAGAATACCTTGAATACACTTTTCTTGGAACTGAGAGCTAATTCTGAATATACAACCTGTCTAGGCTAGTAAGGAAGTATTCTTAGAGCTTGTGTTTAACGTGATGTCTCAGACCTTGGATTGAATGGGTAGCTGTCATTCTTTGTAGGGAATTTCCTATTCCACTGTGGCTGGGAGTATCCAAGTGGTAAGAACTTGTTGGCCTCTGATCACATAGTACTGATTTATTCTAGTTCTGTCCTCAGTGAGTTATTTACTGTGTTCCTGGAGGGTAATTTTTGGTGAGTGTTTTCAGTAGCTCACCTCTCTGAATTTGGCAGAGGACTAGCTGGCTTCCTACCCTTTACAGTATTCAAGTTTTAATTTTTCTTTCTTGGAAACTACCTAGTCTATTGGAAGAAGAGATTTACATGTAATCACAGCAGACCCACACGGGCATAAGATGTGGTGGTAATAGATTTTGCTAAACTGATAATAGTGAAGTAAATCTGGTGCCTGACATCTGCAGTCTGGTCAGGCTGTTGTGGCAAAAGGATGGGAACTGTGCTTTTTGGAGCAAACGGGGAACTCCTGAACCAGTGTTGCCACCAGAAGAAGCCGTTTTAACAGGCTTGGTCCTGCCTGTTTTCTTTTGGTTGGGAGAATCTAATTCACCATGCAGCTGCAGAAATGTTTGTGCCGTCCCAGGAGCAGATGATGGAGAGAGGGGATGCATGGCCGAGTGAAGAGCGTGCCTGTTACTCCTGGTGACAGAGCTGCCCTGACACAGTCATAGTGAAAACTGGCTGTGGATGCTGGCCTGGCTGACTAACGAGTCAGATCTTTGCAGCAACAGTATTGCTCAGCATTAATCACAAATTTAAACACCTGCATTCCGTTGTATAGCTAATACCTTGGGTGATGTGTTCTGAAATAGAGGCAGCTTCTGTCTTATAACTTGGGAATCCCTGCCAAAGTTACATCAGCAAGGTTTGCTTTGTATATGTGGCCCTGTAGGGGAACACAGTAATGATTTTTTTTAAGACTTTCAGTTTTTCTATGCGTATATAAACAGACTTCTGTCTCCTGTGCTGCATTCAAGTCTTGATATTTCTGATTTTGAATAAGGTTTAACTCTGAGCATAAGTTTCTGCAGGAACTGTCCTACTTTCTACCCTTGCCAGGAGAAACTCTGAATAGTGTTCTGTGATCAGAGCTGATGAGGAGCGAAGCCTGTTGTATTGTTGTGATCACTTCTCTGAACAAGTGGGAATGATCTCTCTTCCCAGAGAATCTCTGTTACAGCCTTTGTAGCCTACACTGCAACCCCTGTTGCTGTACTTTCTTTTTTCCTCTTACACTACAAATTCACTTGTAAAGCAGGTTTATTTTCCATCACTGGAAGTGTTGAGATAACAGAAGGGATTTCCTTGTTTAGTCAGCCTTCACCGGTTGATAAATGCAAGGAAGGCGTGATGAATGGGACAAACGCCTCCGACGCATGGAGGGTGTAGTCGTAATTCCATTAAAAACGCTTGGACCAAAATGCTGTGAAATACAAGTAACGTGTCCCTGGGTTAAATCTTCAGGGTCGCTGGTCAAAATAATTTTAAATGTAATAACTGTGCATTGTTAAGGAGACATTGTGAAGTTAATGCGGTAACTGTGCACTAACTGTATTAATGCTGTTGCTCTATTAGCTTGTCTTGAGGCGAGAAAATGTAGCTTAATTAGTGGGTGGGATTTTTTCAAATCTTGGCCAATTCAGCTTTTTCTGTTATCTCCACTTACAGTTAGAAAGTAAATTGGCTTTTAGATGTTCTATTCCTCCATTTTACTGATCCCAGTAAACTGCAAAATTGAAAGTGTTTTCTTTTTGCTGATAACAGCTTGCTTTGTGGTTTTGTGTCCCCCAATACACTTCACGTTGTCTGATGAAGTTTGCTGCTGTACATAATACTACAAGCAAATTCCTTACGAAACGTTAGCCTGAGCCCCAAAGGTGCCTGCAAATTCCTGAATTTATGTAAATTTTAAATCCTTATGAAAGGAGGAAAAGGTCCAGGCCAAGATACTGAACAAACGAACCAGTGCTTGTGGTATTGCATACAGAGTAGCATGGTGCATGGACATGTGTTGTGTGCTCTTCTCGTTTAAGCAAGAGTAAGTAGAAAATTAATTTATTTCGCATGCAAAGACAGCATTTCAAGGTGTCTGTCCTGCCAAAGAGCTGACTTGGATGCATGGGGAAATGAAACCACAAAGCCTAACATCTTTGCTTAGGCTGTAAGGAAAAGCCCTTGTATTCCTTTGCCAAGTACTTTGGATCCAACTTGCCATGACTGCTTCCTGCTGCAGAGACAAAAATTATATTTAAGTGGAATAAAACACTGCTTCAGGTAGGAGGAGCTCCTTTAGAGCCTCCTGGTAATCTTACTAGTAGAATTAGGATACCTCGGTTTTGTTATTTCAGACTGCTGACATGCTACTGCATTGCAAACTCACATGTGGAAATCTGGTAACCTAGTGGGGGATAGTTTGCCTTGAAACCTAAAAATGGGCAATCAGGTTGTGGGGTAAACGTGATACCTTTTACCCAGATACTTTTATCTTTATTATGCTGAGATGTATTTGTTCTCCGAGCTGTAACTTTGAGATCTTCAGGTTTGGCAAGATAACGTGCAGGTATCCATTACAGAAGTTCTCAACCAGAAGTCCTAGCAATGCTGTCTTTGTATGAGAGCTCGTGGGGGGAAATGGGGGAAGGAGGTATCTTTACCACATCAGCCAGCGCTTGATAAAACTCTCAATTTAGGAAGACATGCTCTAAAAAAAAAAAAAAAATCACATGAAAGCAATGGATAGGGGTAGGTAAAATGTTTTGGGTTGTTGTTGTTGCACACTGGCTCCTTGCCATCCTCAGCACCCTGGCTCGAAGTTGCTGTAGCTGCTGTTATTCTCTGAAAAACGTCTTGGCTTGAATTAATGAAAAGTAATTGGGTTTTGCTTGCTTCTGTAATTTATTTTGAGAGGCTTCCTGCTGGGTAGTTGACTTTGCTGTCCCATGATCCTATGACCATGTCCCTGCTTAGCTGCCCTGCATTTAGTGTTTAGGTCTGCACAAGTGTCTGACTGTTGCTTCCCTTTTCTCTCTGCTGCGCGTGGCTCCTCCCAGGGCTCACCCCTTCTCGCACTCCTTTAGGTAAGATACTCTTCAAGGCTGCTAAAAGAGCAGATGTTTCTATGCCAGGCCCTTGCAGATGTTCAAGGGAAAGCTGATTATTTAAGCATTTTTGACACAGATTGAGAAACCTACCACAAACTAATGCCCTGTAATTGACTTTTGTATCACAGTTGCAGTTTACAGTTAAATACTCGTCCTTACTGTCCTGTGTCTGGAAAACTAAGTTCTGGGCTGCAACTGTTAAATTAGGGAAGAGAGGGCTGGCTCTTACACTTCAGTTGTCCACGGCAGCCTGTGTGTGGACAGTAAATGCTTAAGAACCAGGGGTATGCTGCTCTTGCACGGTGTCTGTCTAAAATTGTCATTTAACTTTTTCTTCCTTACTCTGAATGCTTCCGAGTAGCAGTTACTCCATTCGCCACTCGATAAGTATGCCAGCGATGAGGTAATGTAGCAAATACCCATGTCTCCTGAGTGGGGTCGGTGGGAGAGTACAGCTGACTCCATCATTATTGGGCTTTTTGTTCTGATTTGTACAACTGGTTCCCTTCCTAAGCAGACCCCATTCCGAGTATGGGGTAACCGCATTCTGCTGGTTGAGTATTTCAGGGTGGTTTTTTTACCCAATCTCTTTTTGTGGTTATTAGCACCTATGTTATTCTTGGACTAAGCGCAGTGTTGCAACTGTACCAAAGTCTAATTGAAATTCGCAGCTTTCAGAAATCTCTGAAGGGCAGGGATTACAGTCCTCCTCTCGCAACGTACAGTGTGGCCATTGCTAACACTGAGAGATGAATCCGAGCTTGAACCCTACGTCTCCAACCTGGAAGCTCAGTGCCCTTCTCAGCACGTCCTTGTGGTGCATTAGGTGGTGATCTCCTTGCAGGAGAAATGACTGCCAGGGCTGGACGAGGCCCACAGAAGCCCTCTCTCTGTTCATCCTCGTTCCAGATCAACGGAGGTTATTCTATGGGCACAGATATAAAGCAATTCTTTGGAACAAAAATAACCGAGATGAGGCTAGTTATCTCCCAGCTGCCAGTGCTCCCGCAGCCTAGCCCGGAGAGAGCAGCTCTGCATGAGTAATTGCCCAGTCTGAATGCCCGGTACAGAGCACTGCCCTGGAATCGTTCACAAGCAAAGAAGCTTGTTAGGTTGTCAAACAGTTGACCTGGGTTTCTTTGCTAGAAATATGAAATCCTCTGATTAATTTATTACACTGTGGTTTTTATGAGCATTTCCTGATGCAAATGATCACTCCTGTAGTAATGAAATGCACATGGCCCTTCCCCTTCCTGCCCGCGGGATGTAATATGGGAAACTGAAGCCTTTGTTTTAAACCCTTTTCAGCTTTTCCTTTCCATTATTTAAGATGGCATGCTTTTAGTTGGAAGCCTCGTAAAACTAAGAGCTAGTTTCTTTTCTACTTATCGTGCGTTGATTCCCTAGTGAACTAGAACTTGTTTCCCTCAACATTTTAGCTTGAGCAATTGAGTGGATTGCACATGGTATAAATGTTTTCCTTCAGTGTTTGTATGTGGTGTTCTTGTCTGATGTGCCTGAGAGATGTGTGCCAAAGGCTGTGAGGAGCTGGAAGTGTTCTGTGTGCTGCTGTCACTGTATGGGAATGGCCAGAAAGCCCAGTCATGCTACGCGACTTGATTTAGTTAAGAAGTAACTTGTCTTGATTTGCTTTTTGTGTTTTTTTTTTTTTCCCTCTCCTCTCTTCAAGGAATTCTGCAACCTTCAAGTCATTTGAAGATAGAGTTGGGACCATAAAGGTAACAGTCTGCTTTGTCTTGTAAATACATAGTGTGAAGCCTTATGCAGAAACTTTAATTTCTGCGATGTTTTTCTTGTAGACTAGTATTCGGGCAAATGGCCTCTCAGATATGTGAAGTCTTTGCTACAGTAGGTGACCCTGACAAGAGGGAATTGACTTGGTATTCGCAGTGCTGGTTTCTTATCCTAACTCTCTTCTCTCCTTTCAGTCCAGAGTGGTGGGCAGCAGGGAAAATAGCACCGACGGCCTCCACTCCCCCTCGGGAGCTGGAGACAAGCCTCCACAAGACAACGCTCCTTTCTAGACCTGCAATGTGGCTTTGCACGGCTGTGCACAACTGTAAGAGCGAGCCCCCTCCCTCCCAAATCTTCACAACAGCAACAACACGCAAATCCAAGAAGGGGCTGAGAGCCAGTCTGGAGAGATCCATCATTCATTCATAGACACTGCTGCTGGATCTAAGTCAAATAAAGAGAATGCAAAGTTTTGTACACAAATAATATTTTACACTAAAGTTTGTAGACTAAATGTATCACTGCTGTCCTTTTGGGAGAGCATGTAAGATGGAGTTTCCTTAAAGTAGCTCAGAAATGCCACTGGTATAGATAAAAACAGTTTCCCCTTGTCTGACATAACTTGGAACAGATACATGGCCCCGAGCAGCGTGAGGAGGGCAGTTATTGGAGAAGCCAAGTGCATGGGCATCTTAGCTTCAGCTTCTGGCTACGTTCTCTGTTCAGGGCATGCCATGCAGCTACTCAGTGACCTCCCAGGCTTCTCCCGTTACTGTTTTCTCTGGCTCTCTTTGGAGCAGTCTGATAAATGGGGTAAAGAGTTAGGTTTTTTTCTGGGCTCCCAAAAGGGAAACTTCACTTAGCAGCTGCCTCGTTGTTACACTAATGCTCTAGCTTTAACAAAACTGAAAATCTTTATTTTTAAATGCAATGAACTTTAAAGAAATAAAGCTTAAAAAAAAAAAAAAAAGACGCTTCGGCATCATATTAGGGAAATGCTCCCTTGGACTCTGAAACTGAATTGCAAGCCTTACATCACCTTACGCTTTACTCGCTTATGATTTTTTTTTTTTTATAGAGAAGACTGTAAGGGTTATAAAGCTGGATGTTGAGCACTGGAGTTTTGCATCATACAATAGTAGCAGCATGCTTATAAGCCAGTTCTTGTGTTAAATTCAGTGGTGCACTCCATTTCCTGAGTGTATGAAACTTGCTTCTCCCTTCTCAGTTAATGCCTTCGTTCTTGGAGGAAGAATTTCTGAAGGCTGCTAGCAACAGGGCCAGATTAAAAAGGCCAAAGCTGTCTCTAGCAATATGGACACTATGTTGGAGGGACTCTGCTCTCCTCTCTGTGGCTCCTCCATCTGGTACATCTGAGTGTGACTGGACGGGTTTTTCACTTGAAAGCCCCAGCTCTAATCTTTGTTTACAAAGCTGGCAGAGAGTCACGGAGCTCAACCAGTTCCCCCGGAGCTGGATGTTTTGTTCTTTTGATGTCCAACTTCATTGCTCAGGAGCTGAAAAATTCTGACTTTTCTTCTAGAGTCCTGATCTTGTTCTAGGCAAGGTGCCTCCACATAGAAGTACCTAGAGTGAGCAATTCTGTGCCTTAGAGGCGAAGTGGGTCTTACTCAGGTCTTTAGACTTGCTTATGTACATATCTGGGTAGTTTTAGTGGTTTATCACCCTGGAGGGACTGAACTGTCTCTGACCCTTCCTTAGAGAAGCAAGTTTTGACACTTACCTGCTGATTTCCCCCACCCCTGCTCCCTTCCTTCTGCAGACCTGGGGATACAGGATGAAATATTAGAAGGCAGATGTACTAGGCAGTAGGTGGAGCGTAGAGTGTATTTAGTGGTGTTCCTTGTTTGACTGAAACTGGCCTCCCTGCGAGGAACAGAGCCAAACGGGGACTGCTGGAGCTTGGGTATTGAACTGTTTCTCTTTACAGATAAAGACTGAGGAAACTTGTCAATAAAGCATTCCTTTGGGAGAAAATGGGGTGAATGTTCTTGTCTTGTTCTATCTAACAGTACTGAAGTCTGCTCTTGGGTGCGTCTTATGAACTTGTCAGGCAAATACCAACTGCCTGCAGCAGCTTGAGGCGAGAAGTAACTGAAATATTCTGTTCTATCCTATCCCTCTGGCTTGTTTGTCCATCACCTCTCCAGATGCTTTCTCATGAAGGGATGTACTAAATAATATTTACAGTCTGATGTTTCCTTTTCAAGATGCCGAACTCCAGCTGGTTCCCGAGACGTACCTGTGCTCAACTAAGGGCTGGGGAGCTGCAAGCCCACACTTACCCTCCAAGTACCATCCCATTGCTCCCTTCACCACTGGTGCCGCAGGTGAACCAGACGTGCCTCAGCTCCCTCGCGCCGTTTTCCTGAGCTCAGAGCATGGGACCGCAGTGGCAGCGGTAACCTTGGCAGTGGGGAGCGAGGCTGGAGAAACTTCTAATGTGGAAAAGCAGCAGCTGTGGTGCTGGCTCGGAGTTACGGCATGATACCTCAGGGAATCGGCTTCTTGGAAGCTCTGGCACTCGCTACTGATTTAAACAGCATGGTGCAGGGGGAGCAGCGAATCTATGACTGGAGTTGGGAGCTGCTCTCTTATATTTAAAAGGGAGTGGAGAGCAGGCAAACAGGTTGTGAGAGAGGCCAGCGGAGCTCTGTAGCTGCTCGGTGTGCTGTGCTTTCAGAGGAAGGGTGCCTGGCCAGGTTTGAAGCACCTGCCTGTGGTGAGGGTTTGGTTTTGGTTTTGTGGTGTTTTGTTTATTTGTTTTGAAGGTTGGGGTTTTTTTGCTACTCGACTTCCGTAGGTAAAAACTACATCTCTGCAACTGGGTCTAACAGCAAAGGGGTTGGTATGATCCCTGATCCTGGAGGAGAGGTGCTGCAGGGAGCCCCCAGGCTGCGGAGCTGGGGCTGCGAGCTCCCCTGTGAGAGCCCCAGGGGCAGGGGGATGCTTTTCCACCTCCCCGGTCCCTTCCAGTGAGGGATCTTGGGTGTTTTGAAGGAAGGTTAATTAAGCCTTCCCTTCCTGGTTACAGGCTTGACGCTGTTTTTGTCGCTTCCAGGTTTCTAAGTGTGCTCCTGGCAGCTCTCGCGGGTGCAAACCCACGGTTTTCTTCAGGGCTGGGCTGTGGACTGCAGTGTCCCATGCAAAGGACAAAGGGAATGTGGCTTTCTTCCCTGGAAAAACCCGGGACCAGGGGCGTACGAAGCCCTGGCAGCCTCGTGAGCACCCGCCTGCTCTGTTGTAACCGGGGGAGAAGGCTTTGACAGCAATATTCCTCTCCTGTTCATCCCCTGCCAACAGCCTCGGTGGGCCAGAGCTGCTCAGAGGGGCTCAGGGACAGCCCGGTGTCCCTGGGTGGCTCTCCTGCTGCCTTGGAGCCTGGAGAGGGTTTGTCCTGGAGCTTTTTCAGCGTCACTTCTCTCTCCTCCCTCTTTTTCCTGTTGCTTCCCTTAAATGAAACATCCCGGTATTAAATCTACGCTAATGAGGCCAGCACACGGGACCCATCAGAGTTGGGATCTTCGCAGGCAGCAACAGAGCCAGCAACCAAAACAGTGTCTCCTTTTTCCTGCTGCTCTGGTTTTACCGCGTGATTTTCCTTTTCTTTCCTCGTCGCTGAGGACTTGCTGGGCTTTTTGACTGCTCCCGTGTTTCGGGGGGGTCCATGCTGAGCTGACGTTATTGACCGGGGACGCGGTAGCTGACGAGAGGCTTTTCCCATGGCGGTGCCTCTGGCGCTGCTGCCGCCCCAGGAGGATGCTCGTCTCTCCCCGCACCTCCCGCTGCTGCGGTTCGTCTCTGCCGGCTCTGGTGCAAAGCACGGGGCCAGGTGATGCAGACAGCCCATTCCCGACGTGTTTCCAAGCAGGATGCTCATGCAGCAGCATCTCTGCATGGCTGGGTCCTGCTGCTGGCCTCGGCTGCTGTGGCAGCGGGCAGGGCTGGATGGGTTGGAGGGATAATTTAAGTCCGTAACTGGACGAGCACCCAGCAAACAGGAGGGAGCTGAGATTCACCAGGGAAGGGAGAGCAGCAGGTGGTCCCGAGAAAGCCCAAAGCCACGTTTTGGGGTGTGGTGACACATGGAAGAGACTCGGTAGTCATTGTCCCCCGCCAGCAACCAGCCAGGGACAGGCTCACCCTCCTGGCTAGAAATGAAAACTTCCTGGGGGATTTGTGATGTTTGTCTCCTGCCCGTGAGGAAGAAAATGGGAGCCCTCATCCCAGCAAAGCACCGACCCCTCGCTCCGACATCACTGGGAGTTTCCAAAACCCCAAAGCACGAGGTGACATGTGGTGGCTGGGCAGCACAGCATCCCGTGCCCTTGCTCTCGGTTTGTGCACTGTCATCGCCCGGCTTGGAGAGTTTGAGAAAACCCAGTGCAGGGCACTGGAGTACCTGAGCCATCAGAAGGAAATCTGCATTACTTCAAAGCAGAGGGTGAGCACCCACGCCCGAAGATGGGACAGCTCGGGCAGAGGAACACGAGGTGTGGAGCCTTCATCAGGATCATCGAAGGTGGGGGGAAGCTGGATTGTTCCATCCCACAAAGTGGGAACAAGCAGATAAACAGCAGAATCGAAAAGTAACCTATTGCAAAAAGCTAGAAGGAGCCACTTTTCCCTGCTGGCACCATGTCCCGATCCTCAGCCGAAACCGGAGAAAACAAGTGTTTTTTAAGGAATTTGGCATTTATGCTCGTGAGAGGGCTTGCACAACTGCTCCAGCAGCCCGGAGCCTGTGTTCGTCCCACCGGGGCTGTGTCGCCGGCCGAGCGGGCAGCGTCCAGAGCCAAGTGCTGGCCCAGAGCTCCCAGCCTGGGCCCACTCACTGCACCCCTGTGGGTGCGAGCAGCCTGGGCTGGCCCTGCGTGGGCGCTGGGATGGGTTCAGCATCTCTTCTTGGGTGCAGACTCCGAGCAAGGTCCAAGGCGCAGTGTTGGTGCTGGGGACCCCTGCGCGTAGCCGGTGTTTTGGAGGGGGAGAGGTACCGGGTGTCCTCTGGAGCATCGGTGACGGAGCTGGGCTG